CGCGGAGCGGCTGGGCCAGTGAGCCATGGCCACTGAGCCTGCGCGTCCGGAGCCTGTGCTCCGCAACAGGAGAGGCCACAACAGTGAGAGGCCCGTGCAAAAACAAAAACAAAAACAGTACCTGGTAAAATATTTAGGCGGAAAGATTTTCACATTTTAATGCCAAAAAGTAGCATTGAGAACATCCTTCATTTTTCCCAAGCCCACTAGGTACCCTAACACCTATAGAGAGAATATTTTCCCAATTAAGAATATTATAGTCTATAATAAAGAGTAGATTAAAGGTGTCAATAATTTCAAATTTACTAACCACAAAATATTTCTTTGAAGAATATTTATGGGAAATTTTGTGAAAAAAAATTAAAGTGATGAGGCCATATCAGGAAAAACATTGAATACCATTGACATCATGTTAGAGACAGACATGCCTTAAGAAACTGATTAAAGTACACTATTCTGATTTTTTTGTTATTTATATTCAGATAATCAATATAAAGAGCTGTTTTGTTTTGGTTTTTAATTTTATTTATTTATTTTTGGCTGCGTTGGGTCTTTGTTGCTGCACGCGGGCTTTTCTCTAGTTGCTGCGAGCGGGGGCTACTCTTCGTTGCAGTGCTCGGGCTTCTCATTGCAGTGGCTTCTCCTGTTGTGGAGGAAGGGCTCCAGGCGCGTGGGCTTCAGTAGTTGCCGCACGCAGGCTCAGTAGTTGTGGCTCGCGGGCTCTAGAGCACAGGCTCAGTAGTTGTGGCACACAGGCTTAGTTGCTCCGTGGCATGTGGGGTCTTCCCAGACCAGGGCTCGAACCCGTGTCCCTTGCATTGGCAAGCAATTCTTAACTACTACACCACCAGGGAAGCCCTAAAGAACTGTTTTTTAATTTTACTCTATTGTACATAAATATATGTTACTTTCGTTTTAGAAAAAACTTTATTATTGAAAATAGTTTTTAATAGAACTATTTATAGTACCAACATAATAAAACCAATCTGTCAGTCAAGAAATAAATATTTTCAAAAAAAAAAAAAAGAAAGAAATATTTTCAAGACCTAAAAAATTTTATTTTATTTATTTATTTTGACTGCATTGGGTCTTCATTTTGTGTGTGGGCTTTCTCTAGTTGCAGCGAATGGAGGCTACTCTTTGTTGCGATGCGCAGGCTTCTCATTGTGGTGGCTTCTCTTGTTGCTGAGCACGGGCTCTAGGCATGCAGGCTTCAGTAGTTGCAGCACACAGGCTCAATAGTTGGGGCACACAGGCCCTAGAGCACACGGGCTTCAATAGTTGTGGTGCGTAGGCTCAGTAATTGCAGCGCACAGGCTCTAGGGCATGCGCACTTCAGTAGTTGTGGCTCACGGGCTCAGTAGTTGTGGCACATGGGCTTAGTTGCTCCATGGCATGTGGGATCTTCCCCGACCAGGGATTGAACCCGTGTCCCCTGCATTGGCAGGCAGATTCTTAACCATTGTGCCACCAGGGAAGTCCCTTTAATTATTTTAGAATCTCCTTTCCCCCTCAAAAGCCTTGACTTGGTGTCATCAATAAAATATATGGTCACTCTAGCCAAGAAGGATAAGGAGGCATAGTAGTTCTCTGTTGCTGTGTAACACATTACCCCAAAGCTTAACCGCATGAAACAGCCAAGGGTTATTGTCTCACAGTAGAGAGAGGATACCATGTGGCTCAAGAATCTAGATGTGCTTCAACTGGACGCTTCTGGGTCAGGGTCCCTGGTGAGGCAGCAGTAAAGCTGTCAGCCAGGCCTACAGTTAGATCTCAAGGCTTGACCCAGGCTGGGAAATCCGTTTCCAAGCCGACTTGTGCGGCTGTCAGCAGGCTTCAGAAGATGTGCCTGCAGGCTTGCGGTGCAGTTGTGGGCCTGTATTAGTCAGTACGGGCTGCTATAACAAGTACCACAGACTGGCAGCTTATACAACGGTTCTGGAAGCAGGAAGTCTGGGATTGAGGTGCCCGCAGGGTTGTTTCTCCTCAGGCCTCTCTCCTTGACTTGTAGTCGGCCATCTTCTCCCTGTGCCCTCACACAGTCCTCCCTCTGTGTTTTTAGGTCTGTATCCTAATCTCTTCTTATAAGGATACTGGATCAGTCATATTGGATCAGGGCCCACCCTAAAAGCTTCATTTTAACCTAATTACCTCTTTAAAGACTCCATCTCCAAATACAGTCATGTTCTGAGGTCTTGAGGGTTAGGACGTCAACACATAAATTTTGAAGGAATAGCATTCAGCCGATGGCAGGGCCTCTCCACCTGAGGGTCCCCACAGCATGGAAGCTTGTGATTCAAGATTGGGAAGAGAGAGAGAAGAGAGACTCAAGACAGCAAGACAGAAGCTGCCGTCTTTTATAATTTGATCTCAGAAGTCACATCCCATCTTGTCTGCAATATTCTATTGTTAGAAGAGAATCAGTGAGTCCAGAGCAGGACAGGGTTCACAAGAGCAGGGTCTCAGGAGGCAGCCATCTTGGAGGCGGCCTTCCACAATCCGTAAGCTTCTCTCTCCAAACCCACTGGAGGGACCTAGACTGAGAGTGGAAAGGCAGCTCATCCTACCTCATCTCTAGGGAGACAGTAGGAAGGCTAGAAAACACGTCAGCCTCTCTGGCTGCCCAGCATGACTAAAAGATGGAGGCCGACCGACAACCGGCGTGTCTGCACAGCTCTCTGGGCGGCTCCTCAGCAAATTCTGAGCTGGAAGCCGTGCGGGAGGCTGGTTCAGCTCCAGGCGGTGAGCTCAAGGCTGTTCTCCCTCAATGGCACGTAGCCTTGTGTGTGAAGTCATAACCCGGAGCCTCACCAAGGCCTCCAGCTGCGCAAACCACCTCCACGTGGGGGTTCCCCCTCCCCGTGGGGTTTCTCCACGCATCTTCCTTACTCTGGACCCCAACTCAGCCAATAGTCTTCATTTGTTCTCTAGATGAGTCCTCCCTGCACTAGCTCAGCCTCTGGTGTTCGCTTAACCATTTCAGGACACACACGTCACCCTCATCTCAGATGCTGACAGACAACCTGCTTCTCCTTCATGATGTTCACACAGCAGCCCACGCTCACAGCAACCCCGCTGCCTCCCAGGTGGAACCATTTCAAAGTCGTTGTAAAGCGACAGGGTAGGAAACACAGGGTCTGAGATGACTGAGGACTGTCCCCTCACAGACAGGCGGGCTGACAGGTAGGAAACCAAGAGTAAGGTGCTCCAGGCAAAGCCGTCACGGATGGGGGTGTGGCAACCCCAAGCAATCCAGGGTGGCCGGCCTTTAGGGCAGTGGAGTAGGGGAAGGTGGGGAGGGAGGTTGGGGGGTGCTTTGGATAACAAGGAACAGGGTGCTGAGTGCAGGTCTCCTAGTCTCTCCTGGCAAAGCTCCTGGGAGCAGGATTCAGCACTCTTCATCTCTGCATGCCCCCCTCTCCCGTCACACGCGCACACACACACACACACACCACATACACACACACACGCACGCAGAGACACACACACACACGCAGAGACACCACACACACAGAGACACACCACATACACACACACACCACATACACACACACACACAGAGACACACCACATACACACACACAGACACACCACATACACACACAC